TGCCAGCATCCCGGTGAGTGCGGATGGTCCCACCTGCCATCTGTGTCCCTAACCAGCCCCCGGTGCTGGGTGGCCCCTTCCCGGAGCCCCGTCCAACCTGACCTCGGTTGTTTCCAGGGACGGGGCATCTACCACCTCCCTGGGCAACCTGCTCCAGTGTCTCACCACCCTCAGCGTAAAATATTTCTTCCTTCTTCTGTGCCTATCTCCCCTAGCCTGCCTGTGACAAGTATCGTTTGCCTGGGTGTCCAAGGGACTACAATCCAGTTTGTGGGACTGATGGAGAGACCTACGGAAACGAGTGTGTGCTCTGCCTTTACAACAGGTAGCGCTTAATTGACATCTTAACCTTCCCTTCCTATATGCAAGCAAAATATTCGCCCTTGCATCCCCATTCACTGATAGATGATTGGCTTTGGATCGTTCACTCTCTGCTAACCCGCAGTTTTAGCAGTTTTCTCAACTGTCAATCTTTTGCCACAGCTTTTATTGTGATACCTGTAAATGGCTTATATTGGATTCTGTTAGCTGGGAGTACTGAATATAAGCTTTTGGAATTCTTAAGGAGGAGCATCTCAGAGCAGGGTTGCCTGTCATGTTCACACAGTGCCACATTATGATTAAATATAATGCCAGACTCTTCCACATTCTCCATCAGAAAACGTGAAAGATCCCACCCAAAATGCAGCTTTTACTAAAAAACTGTTGATTTAAGTTCAAAATCCAGTCTCCTGTACTTCCTTTCACAGAGAAGAGTAAGAAGGTCAAATGTTAGGAGAAAATACTTAAGGAAACAATATTTTAAAGAAAGTGCCAAAGTGTGTCAAAGTATGTTTAAAGGTGTGCAGATCTGCAGAATTTGGTAACATTTTCACTGGAGTACATCACAAACTACCCAAGCAAATGACAAATTGCAAAGAGAAATGGTAAACCCACAGTCTAGGGAAAAAAAAAATCACCACCACCAAACACAGGGAATCAAAGGGCACATAGAGTACAGTCTGCAAAAAGGGGAGAAGAGAGGTGCTAGCGTGTTACATATTAGGAGTCTACCCATCTTTGCAGCCTAGAACGATGTTGAAGTTAGTAAGTGATTGACTTGTAGACAGCCAGAGGTAAAAAAGAGAGTAAGCAAAACTGATACAGATTTGTCAGAAATAATCCGATCTAATCCGTGAGATGTAGTCTTGTAGCAAAACAACATAGCAGAGAATGGAAGAAACAGAAGTGTTGCTCCATTACATTAGTAAGGCATTTGACTCAGCTCCTCTTGACAGTCACAGAGCAGAATGATGGGCTTTGAGATCCAGCCTTGCATTTGTAGGATGTTTCATTTTTTAGGCATGATCCCTCGGTTCCAGATGGGTGCATGGTAGATTCCTGAATACAGTGTTGCACGTAGCACAAAGGGGTCTTCAGGCAATCTTGCTGTTTATTCCCACTCAATTCCTTAAGTAATTCATGATGGGGCTTATGAATTAGTAGTATGAGACGTAACGTAGACGTTTTGTGTGAAACGTGGGATTTAATCCAGTTACACACACAAGACAGATTTTTATCTTAACCATCTTTTTTTGCTGGCATCTTACCTGCTCAGAAACACATTTTGGTCTGAAGGGGCACAGGGTGATCAGATGCTATCCAGATTTTATTTTTTTAAGTAATTCAGTAGTTGGTGTACTCAGTGTCATTCTAGTTCAGTCTGGAGTTGTTGTTCTGAAGTATTTGACTGGGCAGGAACACAAGGATAAAACACTTTGTCTTGTTGGAAGAATTTGAGCTTTGAAGAACAGTTCATAGTCATAAGCAATGGTCATTTCACTTCAAGGAACCTAAGGTACAGTCCGTTACACTCCTTAGGAGGGGAGAACAAAGAGATCTTTCCACCCTTCTTAACAAGCTGCATGAAATGAAATTTCATGCATTGCTGAGATAAATACTGTGAAACAGATACATGGGCATAACCCATAGTGAGCTACAAACCAGTCAGTTCTACATTAACCTGGGTGATTCTCAACAGCCAACTCGGAGGTCACTTCCCGCCCATGTTTAAGCCCATTAAAAGACTTTTTCAAAAGAGTTGTACTTCCCTGATGGCAAGGCAATACTGTCCATGGGCTCTTTTAGCCATCCAAGACTGTGTGGGCACCAAGTGGAGTGGATCAAGAAGAGAGGCTGCTGTGCCTGGTCCACAATAACATGAGACACCCGGAGCAAAGGTGCAGCACAGACCCTGCCCATCGTGGTTCTGCAGGGCAGCCCGTTAACTGCAAAACCACAGGTCTTCCTGCCTGCCTTTATTTTTTTTAAGCTTAGATCTAATCTATTCTTAACTGGGTGCTCAAATGCAAATCCCAAGTCTCTTGCACACTTAGTGTCTGGTAGCAGTGACAACAGTTTATCTTAATTTAAGCCTAGTCTGGCAGCAAGCACCTCTTTGGAAACAGATGCAGCAGCTTGAGCTGCCTCTGCAGGGTTTAGCATAAGAGCTGTCCTTCAGCCAGAACTTTTCTTTACATCTGTTTTACATCCCCTGGGCTTGGTTTTTCCTTTCATATTCCTAATCTGCTCCACTACCTTCTGGTTAAAAGATCCTTGATACAACTATTAGTACAGATTGTCCCGGCTTTTGGGTAATCGTAAACCTCTTGAATTTCATGAGGAGTAAAACAGCTTGATTCTATTAAGATAGGGAAGCAAACTGAAGATCTAGGGCAGTCTGTATTCTATCACTTTCTTTTTTATTTGTACTTGCTTTGTAAACTGAGATTTGTAAATAGAGCACCCCAAAGTACCATATATGAGACATCAAAAAAAAAAAAAATCTGATGTTCCCAAACTAAGGGACACTTGGCTAAAATTTCCCTAAAGAGGATTCTGACATTCAGAGAACCACACATTCAAATTTTAGCGAAGCCTGGGATGCAGAGATGCATCAAGATTCACACCCTTCCCACTGAATTCCCAACTGAAAGGGGAAAATTTTGTAAGCATTGGAACTGTTTCCTGCTTCACAGACTGTGAAGTCTGACTTGCATTGGTGCTTTTTAATGGATACGTTAGTCCTCATGGTGAGATTTGTCATGTGGTTTGATACTTCTCAGATTTGCAGATGGCTTTATCAGGTTTTTATAGGTAACAAAGCCTGAAGTGAGGCCGTCTCTGATAAGTTACTCGCTCTGTGTGTGTGATTCATAAATCTTTGCATTGCAGTTACTTTGCAGTAATGTTTGCCATAAGTGACGCAATTAAATGCATCGCTGCATTTAATTGAACACATAGAAAGACATAGAAAGTGTCCGCTTTATAAAATGTCACTTAAATGCAAGTGTAGTGCTTCTCTTCTAAAATATTTTTCTTTTGCTTGCAGGGAAAATGGCAAGAATGTCCAAATTTCCAAGAAGGAAAGATGCTGATATGGCAGATGGCCACTTTTCAAGAAAATGAGAGGGACACAGGCATTCCAAATGGAAACAATGCCTTAAATGTACCTTCTGCGTAGCCTGTCTTAATAAATAAGTTTTCCTGTTTAAACAAAGTACTGTTGCTGTGTTAAAACCAGTGTTTATAAACGTAACCATAGTACACTTATAACCTGAACCCCAGTTTATTCTCTCAGGCAAGACAGATCATAGGGTAAGAAAGAGATGCCCTGACTATATACCAGTAGGTCAGTTGTTTGGAGAAGGAAATGAACTGGTAACCAGTGCCGTTCCCACAGCACCGCCTGGGAGCAAGGAGACCCCAGCATCTCTGCCACAGGCAGTGCTGGCAGTGGCGGCTGCTCGTTTTTTCTGTAAGGATCTGAGCCCACAGGTGCCAAGGACCCCTGGAAAGCCACTGTAGGGGTTTCTTGTGGTGGCTACCAAACTGGTGACGGCGGCCTGACGTGCAGCAAGCCTCTGCCGCAGGCTCCCTACCTGCAGGTCCTGCTGGCAGAGGGCAGCAACCTGGGCACCCTCCGCTCCTGCCCCAAGTACAGGCTGTTTTGGAGCGCTGGAGGCGTGAGCAGGGGGCCCCCAGCCCTCTAGGCTCTGCTCCTTGGGTTGCCAGTGTCACCATCCTGCGCTGGCACCCAAGAGCCACTTCCCATGGCAAACATCAAAGCAAAATCAGAAAACTCAAGGCTCGTGTCACTCCAGGGTGTGTCTGGCAGACCTTCCTGCAGGGAGGGGGCACGAGCGCTGGGGTTCGGTCCTTTCCTTGCACTTGTTGGACACATAGCCTTTCTTACCTTTGTTCCCTTCTGTTCTGCTGAACAGCTCTGTTTTCTGCATGCTGCTTGAAATGAGTTGTATTTGGGTTGTCCTACAGTCCGCTGGTAATACACGAATGACATCTACCTTTGATCCAAGCCAAGTGGCACCTGCTCTAGCCCTGGCCCCAGACAATGGCTTCTTTGCTGGGCAGCACACTTCATGCCTGATGAATATTCACAGGTCAGTGACTTTGGTTTTGAAAAACAATTATGCTTTTGTCTCATAGTTCCTTTAAAGGGTCGAAGCTATCTTTATCTTCCAGCACATGCCTGCTTTCATTTTCTTCATGCAAAGACTGATCATTGACAGATGAATGTTGTGTGTGACACAACTGGAGGGCTGGAAGCTTAGGATGAAGTGGTCATGTGGAGACATGAATATGTGGATGGAAAAGAAAGATGACCAGTGCCTCCCAACAAGGTACCAGTTGTGGATGGAAAATCAATTTCTCTATTGGTGGCAAATCCATCTGAGAAAGTTCCTGTGTGCTCCCAGCTGTCGTTTCCACCTCCAGATCTGGAAATTTGCACTTTTTCAAATTGTACCAAATGCCAAGGCTGTTGTGGGCTATGCTACGAAATAACAAGTGGATGTAAATGATAGGCTGTTTATTTTTGTATTTCTATTTTGATAACTAATTGTGCTTACAAGGGAAATTTAACAACTCCTGTCTTGTTAGTTGTAGAAATATCCCTTCAGTATTTGATGGAAGTATGCATAACATTGCCTTTTTTTTTTTTTTTTTTTTTTGAAAACTCAGAAAAAATTTGTCCAGGAAATGTACATAAACAAAATGTTCCCTGGACTTCACTCACCGTTGCCCAGGTACATTTTCTGGAACAGCTGGGCTCCAGCCCCCGGCTTAGTTGTGGGTAGGTTGGAAATGCTGAGCCCCTCTGCTTCAGGCACTCTTTGGAGGGTTTGCAGGTTTTCTCAGCCAGAGGCGGTAACACCCTTTGGTTTGAACAAGGCGGAAAGCATATCGCCTTGAGTTGCTGGTACAGTCTTTCAGGAGCGGGGATCCTGAAGTTCTGTTGGGTGTGAGAGAAATGTATCAAACTTACCA